AAAGATGAAATTCTTCTTATATATTCATCATACATGACACAATTAATTTGTAGGAAGGAATAGGAGCTTGATATTTCCTTGTTCCAGTTGCTTCAATGGCCACAATAGCTTCTGGTGCTTTGATTAATTTAGAAGAGCTGGTTCCATCTTCGCAACACTTTAAGCATGGGATCTCTCTTCGCGTAACTGGAAAGTGAGTAATCACTTTTTGTTTTTAATAATGTAACTAGTTTTCCTGCCTTGACTGTTTCCCATCCGCTGTAGTCTTTTATATACAATCACCAATACATTTGAACTGGAAAGTCTATGTAGTTGTTGCTGTTCATGAGAATAATGAACAAGAGAAATTTTGTCTAAGAAGAATGAAGCTCATTTCAAGAATCTTCTGCATAATTTGATCGCATTGTTTAGTTCAGTTTGAAGAGAATATTATGTGTGGTATACTTGTGATAAATGTCAGTCTTTGTAATTCTTTGCGGCAGGTAAAGGGTTAACCTTTAGTCCGTACATTTAGGGTAATGCTTGTTCATAACAAACTTGGAGATAATACAAACCCCATTCTAACTTAATTTTTCGCATTACATTGTTGTTACTTATGGAACTTGTGCGCAAAAAAGTAATTGTTACTACTGAAATGAATGTGCATAGATCATACTTTGGTTTCCATGAGTTGGTTCAAGAACTTGCTCGTCAAGCAAAAGGAAGGAAATTGAAACTCAAGGCTTGACTATTCTTTGTGTTCCCTCTAGGCTCCAAGATTATGATGTGGAGACTGCTGTTGCTGTGATTGTTGATAGAAATGCATCATTAAAAGTTGACACACAACACTTGAATATCAATCTTCGCATTGGTTCCATCTTCCAGTTTATTGGAGAACTGCTTCTTGAACCCGATAATGAGGTATGATACCTTGAATATAGAATATTCATATTGTGGCACAAGCTGCTTTACTTGCTTATGGTCTGCATACATGCATTTAGTCTTCATATTACACCATTCTAATATCTAGATTATTACCCACTTCCTTCCCCAAGAAAAAGGAGCACAAAAATTGAATTTAATAATGGTGCTATTACATGATAAAAGAAAAACACTCATCTTTGTGATGCACTGAGAAAATTAGCAAAGGTTGAGGAACTTGTGTCTTAGGTCACAAGTTCGAGCCCAACACCAAGCGAACTAAGTCCATTGTTTAAGTGGAGAAGGGGTTGAGAGACGGACCCATCATACCTGAGTTTGAAGGCTAGGGTTGGCCCAAAGGGTGGACTCCAGATGGACTTCTCGGTCATAAAAGAAATAACCGTAATTATTGAATATGACTTGACAATTAGATCACTATGGCATTGTTGTTTTAGTGTCTATGTATACAAGCCAATTAGTTGTTGTCTTTTTCCCTTAAACTGTAAGAGGAGGAGTATCAGCTACTGTGGCTAGGGATGTTACTTATAAATTATGATGTGTGATATACAAAGTTGATTTCTGATTACAGGCAATTCTGAAGGCACGAGTTGGACGAAATATGGATGGAATGGATCTCAATCTCTATCGTCAATCTCTGAAACTCTTGAGAGATTTCCAAGCTGGTCGTTGAATAGTTAGACGCCTTAGTGAAAGATTTATCAATGAAAATTTACCAAAAGTAATAGCTAGATCTCATGTTGTGAAGGGCATTCTTGTCATATTCATGGTTGTAGTGGAAGCCTTTTTATACAATTTGCAAAATGCAGTGTTCCTTCTTAGCTCTTGTTGAAAGGCATGCATGGCCAGTGGTGATGTTGGAAGTAGTATTATAAATCAGTTGTCTATTTGCAACTTTTGAATCTCTATTGTTAGGAGAAAAGAGGGTACTGGTTTTTTTTTTTCTTTTTGGTTTTCCACCCGGTGTCTGGTACCCACATTGAGACCGACTAAATCTGGATTCGAGCAGGGAAGTCCCACATTTGGGGGTAAATCGCTCCCTAACAAAGGTGACTTGATCTCGAAACCTCTTGATTAAGGATAAAAGAGTACTTACCACTCAACTACAACCCTTGGTACTGGTTGTTTTTGGGTTCTCTATGACCAGCAAACATGTCCTTTCCAAAGCAAAATGGACAAGTCTTTACACCTTTCTTTTTGGCCCCTCACTTATTTTTACAATAATTGTTGGACCCTGAATATCACTTTTTACTGGGCCAATCCAAATTCAGCTGAAGAGTTTAATAGTATATCTATAGATAAATTGGAACAGTTGATCACATAAATAACATTGTATACCAGGTCATTTCTTCTATTCATTTCGTAACTGGTCAAGAAATTTTAATTCTTACTTTTTTTTTTCTTACTTACAATTTGATCTTAAATTTATCACTCGGATTTTATATGTGAAAATGGTCAAACTCGCATGGCTAGAGCGACTAAATAGGGCTCTACCCAAGCCAATCATCCCAAATCCTGTTCTTCGGACGAATTGTAACCTCTGTTTGATAGGTACTACAACTTTATTTATTTATGACATTTTTGGTGCCTAAAACGCAACTTACATGTAGGTGTAAGTCGTGTGAATGGTAAGTGAGAACATTACTGATTTTCGTAGAATTGAATGGTGAGCTAAGAAAACCAAAAAAAGGTTACCTTAATTTGAGGGAGGTACTTTTGGTGTGGTACAGGAAAGAAATGCACCTTATAATGACATCAATCATATTTGAGAGGGACATTAAAACTGCTTTTCAAAATGGAGTAGCTATGTACAATAAAGGTGCAAATAACACTTGACAATGGCCTATTAATTGATCATCAAATATAGGATATACTGGCTCTTGGCTTCCCCATATAGCTATATTATATATACATTCTCATGGTCATCATTTGCATATTGGAATGTAGCAATTACTTACTTGTTTTGGTCCCTCAATAATGTTGTATCCTTAGACCTATCACTCTTCTCTCCCTCTCATTCTACTTGTCAAAAAAGACATGCCACATGCATTTGCTCAACTTGCTCATTCACTTCTCTAATTATTTGGACAACTACTCTTCCTCATCCATTGTGGATCAAGAATTTGAATTTTTGAGTTCTACATTTTAGAATAACGACTTCAAGTACTAATAATTAGATTTAATATTTAAAAATGTTCCTCATCAATTTTGGAGGTTGACTTGTTTTTCTTTTCATGGTTGCTGACTTCTTTTAATGGAATTATTTATCATAGCACTATAAGTTTCAGATAAGCAACTTGAGAAAAGAGCTTTATTCAAAATTTGGGTAAGAGTTAAAAAAATAGAGGCAATATCAATTAATTTAAAAAATTTCCCCTACCCTTAATGGAATGATTTATTGTCAGAGTCAAGGCCTAAGATTAGGCTGATAAGGCATAGTCGAGGGACAACAGGTGAATATTGATGTACTACCCCTTGCTAGTCCTGAGGGACAGAGGAGGCTAGATTAATCAAAAGATGATTATCGATTCAAGAATGTAAGATGTCCCTGCTTTTTTCAGGGTAAGAATGAACTGATCAAAGATTGTTTTAAACTATAGATTTCAAAAGTTTTCCTTAATTTTTTTAAATTCTATGTCAAATCAAACACAGTTGAAACGGGAAAGTATTATAGATTAACTCCTCATGACAATTCTTGAGTTTTACAAAAAAAAAAAAAAAAAAAAAAAAAACTTTTTTACTTATCTTTAAACTACACATTAAACACCACCTGTTTTGAATTTGTCAGTCTAGTAAAAGTACAACAAGAAAACAAAAACATTAATGAGAACAAATGATTAAGACTGACATAAATTAAGGTTTAATGACACCGCCGAACCAATAAGAGTATATTGGAAAACGTCAAATAGCACCTACAATTATTTAATAAGAATGTTTAATATTTGTTTATGTAAAATGATAATGTTAATTAATCTAACCAATAAATTATTCATATCAACTACTACTGCGGTAACGTACTAAATTTTCATCAATTTAGAACCATAAAGATACTATATTTAATTACCAGGCCTATTACTTAATCATCTATTATTATATTTGTGGGTCAAATTCTATGTTCATTAGTTTAACTATATTTTTGGTTAGATTTTAAGCAACTAATAACAATGCATGGCCAGTATTAGTTTGATATCTTAAATTATAGTATAAATTATAGGAACCACATATTATAAGTACTAAATAACATCCTATCCCTTCTAGTTTTCTATTTACCAAAAATCCCTTAAAAATGATGTTTGCGGGATACATAGTGTTGTGCACGGGATACATTAGGTTTGATACATTCCACATAGCGGGATACATAGCGTTGTGCACGGGATACATAGGTAAAATAAGGGATTTTTGAAAATTTTGAAATAAGTAGGGATAAATGGATATTAAGGTAAGTAAAGGAGTGTAGTTAAGTAATTTGTCCTTTAAAAATCACCAATTTTTTAACCAGAAACGGATACATAACATTGTGCACGGGATACATGCGGGATACATAAGTAAAATAAGGGATTTTTGAAATTTTTGAAATAAGTAGGGATAAATGGATATTAAGGTAAGTAAAGGAGTGTAGTTAAGTAATTTGTCCTAAATTATATGCTCCTCCACAATTGCCTGGCCCTAAATTATTACTCCTTCCATTCCAGTTTATATGAGTTAGTTTGACTTCATACAAAATTTAAAAAAAAATGAAAGACTTTTGAAATTAGTGGTCTGAAATAAGTCATAAATATTTGTACGACTATAAATCATTTCATTAAGGGTAAATTTAACATTTTAAAGTTAAATTATTACTAACTATAGAATTGTATCGTTATTTTTTTATACGGACTAAAATGGAAAGCTAGTCATATAAATTGAGAGGCGGAGAAATTTATAAGATAAAACAAGACAAGAAAGAAAAAATAAGTTCAAAAGCAAAATTAATTTGACCAAACTACCCCTAAGACTATTGTAGTGTGATGATCTCATAAAGGGTTGTTTAGTAATTCCATCTGTCTGAAATGTTGGACATGCACATATATATTAGAGTTCAACTCATGATGAATGAAGAGTCTTAAGAATGGAACATAAATTGCTTGAAGCTTCTCCGATCAGCTTTTGTCGCCGGAGTTTCGCCGGAGCTCTGACGGAGACGTGCGCTTGCCAGGATTTCGTAATCTGAACACACATAGGATCGATAAAAAATACTATATTCAACTCTACCTCAGTACGTTTTTTATACTCTTCTTATTTAAGTTTGTTTGTTGCTATTGTTACATTAATTCCTGATGATGATACCTAGTTTAAATTCATATACAACAAAAAAAAAATAAAAAATTAGTAGCGTTGTATGTGACAATCGATTTTTTTTTAATCCGTTTTAAAAAGAATGACATAATTTGGAAATCAATCTAAAAAGAATGACATGACTTTTAATTTTTCAAAGTTTACCCTTAGAAATGTCATTTTCAAACAGAAGGGAGGGAATGGTAATTTGTTCCTCCTCTTGACTTGTATCCTTAGAGATAATACGAAGTTTATAGATTATGTTTTTGGTTGGAAATCAATCTAAAAAGAATGACATGACTTTTAATTTTTCAAAGTTTACCCTTAGAAATGTCATTTTCAAACAGAAGGGAGGGAATGGTAATTTGTTCCTCCTCTTGACTTGTATCCTTAGAGATAATACGAAGTTTATAGATTATGTTTTTGGTTGGAAATCAATCTAAAAAGAATGACATGACTTTTAATTTTTCAAAGTTTACCCTTAGAAATGTCATTTTCAAACAGAAGGGAGGGAATGGTAATTTGTTCCTCCTCTTGACTTGTATCCTTAGAGATAATACGAAGTTTATAGATTATGTTTTTGGTTGGAAATCAATCTAAAAAGAATGACATGACTTTTAATTTTTCAAAGTTTACCCTTAGAAATGTCATTTTCAAACAGAAGGGAGGGAATGGTAATTTGTTCCTCCTCTTGACTTGTATCCTTAGAGATAATACGAAGTTTATAGATTATGTTTTTGGTTGGAAATCAATCTAAAAAGAATGACATGACTTTTAATTTTTCAAAGTTTACCCTTAGAAATGTCATTTTCAAACAGAAGGGAGGGAATGGTAATTTGTTCCTCCTCTTGACTTGTATCCTTAGAGATAATACGAAGTTTATAGATTATGTTTTTGGTTGAGATTTATTTAAATATTCGATATGGATCTGATGGAATGGAATTCTAGCTTCTCCTTTTACCGAAGAATGCTTGACTAGGGTAATAGTAGTCTTTATCTGCCTCTTTGGATCCAAAATATTGCAAGTATATATGGTGAGAAATTAAAGACAACTATTATATAGTTGCCACTAATATATATGTATTTCTTCTCTTGAAGCAGTCATGATATTTGGACCTTTTCAATTTCTTATGACTGAGAAATCCGTTTGGAGCCAAGTGCCAACCCTCAGGATCAAGCACTGCTAGCCTTCTAAAGCCGCTAGCTCCTATCCCGTTCCACTTAAATACCAAGCTTAATTCGCATGGTGGGGTCAGGGACTAAACCTAAGCTTAAATTTGCCCCTTGATCAAACAAACTCAAATCCTGATTAATGGTTGACTATTAGCTTTAGTAAGCTTTCCTGCTGTGAAGTTACTAACTCAAAGAAAATATTAGCCTTGACAATGAATCTTGTTTTGGATGAGTTGCACTATTGGTGATTACATCTTTTTTTTGTTTTGATCAGTAGAGAAAACCTTTCATTTCTGGAATACAGCTTCAAACTGCTTACAACAAAGGGCCGTTTTCAATTTAATTTTTCCTTTGAGGAGGTGGGGGATCAAGCTATTGTCTCTTGCAGAAATGCAAGGTTAGGCTGCTTACAATAGACCTTTGTGTTCCGGCCCTTACCTGAACCCCACACATAGTTAGTGCACTGGCCTTTATCATCACTTGGAGGCTTAATAAGTTGATCAAAAGAAACATATGGACAAAAAGTTGTTTTGACTTTTAATTGGTGGGTTATAAATTAATGTTCTGTAGCATGCATGTTGATTTATATGTTGGAATATCATGACCATTTCAGTTTTTTTTGGTTGTTTTCATATATTGTAGCTAGTCACAAGGAGTACTCCTAATTCTACATAATTGTACTTGGGTATAATTAGGAACTAAAAGATGGTGCAGTTCTCTTCTATTTTCACTGGCTTTACGAAATCTATAGCAATCAGAAATGGGAAGAAAAGTAAACATGATGACGGAAGGGAAACTGCAGATTCACTGGCTAAAGAAGCTAAAAAGAATGAGATGATGTTAACGTCATCTGGCTCTGTAGCTGGCAATTTGGCTGTTGTTTTCTCCAAAGGAGGGAAGAAAGGTATCAATCAGGATAGATTTGTTGTGTGGGAGGTAACTACGAAAATCAAATCTCGTTTTTTGCATTAGTACTGTAACATGTATCTGTAGTTGTTGACATAAAGTTTGATTTTTAGGATTTTGGATGCCAAGATGACATGATCTTCTGTGGGGTGTTTGATGGGCATGGTCCTTGGGGTCATCTTGTTGCTAAAAGAGTCAGAAAACTGATGCCACCAGCTTTGCTTCGTAATTGGCAGAAACGAGTTTCACACACCGTGGATGGTACTGATGGGATATCGATAGATAGAAGTTGTTTCCAGTTTGACATTTGGAAGCACTCCTACTTTGAGACTTGCTCCATCATCGATCAAGAGCTCGAACAGTATGCTGACTCTTTCTACAGTGGTACCACAGCTTTAACGCTCGTTAGACAGGTAAAGTCTACACACTTAACAAGTTAGACTACTTTATAATTATTAGGACGGAAGGATATAATGACATTTACTTCAATTTCTCACTGCAACTCTCTCGTTTAGAATCAGGAGCCACTACACCAAAAATGATCTTTAGTGACAATTAATTAATGACAATAACTTAATTACAGCAAAATATGTATTTTTTGAGGCAAGTAACACTCTTTGTAAATGTCCCTTAAGCCTATAGCGACATCGAATTCAATGACAATTAACTAATGCCGGTAAAGACTTTAGCGCTCTTTGTTAATGTGCATATTTACTGCCGCTAAAAGCTATTTTTGTGGTAGTGAGCGGACAATTGTTGTTTAAACTACATCACTGTTATCTCGTAAAGCAGTTTAGATTGCTTAAATATTATAATACCTGTATCAGTGACTAAAATTTATTTGTCTCGTGTCTGAAAACTTGGTACTTCAGGGTGATCTACTGGTAGTAGCAAACGTTGGAGATTCTCGAGCTGTATTAGCAACAACAGATGATGATGGTAGATTAGTATCAGTTCAGCTCACCGTTGACCTCAAACCTAACTTACCTCGTCAGTTTTCTTCCATGTTTCACATAATATTGAGTTTCATGAGCATTTTTCGAAAAGAGTAAATATGTTAATGATTACATTACAGGGGAAAGCGAGCGAATAATGCAGTCAAGAGGGAGAGTGTTGTCATGTGAAGATGAACCAGGGGTGTATAGAATGTGGATGCCTACAGTCGAAGGGCCTGGATTAGCAATATCAAGAGCCTTTGGTGATTACTACATAAAGGACTTTGGCCTTATTTCAGAACCAGAATTGACATCCAGAAACATAACACATAGAGATCAGTTTGCCATCTTGGCAACAGATGGGGTATGTATTCCCGCTGTTCCAGTTTATATGACGCTCTTTCCCCTTTAATTTGTTCCATAAAAATGAAAGCTTTCTATATTTCACTTGAAAACTTCATATTTACACGTTGTTATAGCCATACAAGTGTCATGTATGTTAAAGACCGCGTGCAAGGCCAAAAGTTTGTCTTTATTTCTCAAACTTGAAAATAAGTCAATTCATTGTTGATATTGGTTAGGTTTGGGATGTGATGTCAAATGAAGAAGCAGTGGAGATAGTATTTTCAACTGAAGAAAGGGAAGATGCAGCTAAGAGGCTGGTGGAAAGTGCTATTTGTGCGTGGAAACGCAAACGAAGGGGCGTTCCCATGGATGATATCTCAGCAATATGCCTCTTCTTTCATAACATTCCTCCTTCAAAACAACAAGCTAAGAATGTCTAAAATTCAACAACAAGCTTACATGAACTACTAGCTGACTTTCAATTGCTGCTTTTTCCTCTTCTTAATATTTTTTTCAGTACTTGATGGTTTGTACATAAGTTCATACATACATATATAGGCTCTTCATGTTTGCTATTATATTTCAATCAGGCATTGAAATGAAATATATTGAAAATCAAATCAGCTTCAAAGTTGAGGAATATGCTTAATATCTGTTTTCCAGAGATATTGTCAATATTATGGTGCAAACTTTAAAATGCAAAAAAGAGAAAGGGGTCTTTTGACTATTTAGGCTGTTTAGAAAAGTACCTTTATGAAGCATCTACATTTTTATTTGACATAATACATAAACATCACGTTTTAACTTGGTCTCAACTGACATCTCTGTCCTCCAACTTTTCGTGTGAACAAGTAGGTAGACACTAAAAAAATTCAAGAAATTGTATGACTTGCCATTTTGAGACACTAAAAAATATTCAAATTTCACATATGTTGTTGTAATTAAGCTGGAAAAATTAGGATACTACAAGGAACATGTACAAAAGATATACTCATAATAGTTTGTAAAGAGCCTAAGCTGATCTGTGATTCTAAAAATCATTTGTAGCTTGCATGTAAATTGGCAAAAGGTTCTTTCCCCAGGCCTCAAGCAAATCATCCAAATATACTAAATTCTTGAATGCTGCCTAGCAGGGTGTACAAATAAAATTGACAAATCACATCAAATCGATAATATGAGTCAAACCTAGAAAAAAAATAATCTCGACTAGTGGTTTGGTTTCGAAAATATATATATATATATATATATATATATATATGGTCCCAAATCGGAATCAATATATAGTCAGGTCCCAATATCGAGGTCGGGTTCAGGGTTTGATCATGGGTCAGGTCAAGGTTCTAATATCATGGTCAAGATCGACTTCATGTCAGGATTGGGAGTCTTGTTCCTAATTGGGGTCATGGTCAGAAGTTGGATCTTGAATCGAGGTTGGAAGTCTGATCTCTGGTATGGGTTGGGGTCAAGAGGGACCTAGGTTGGGTCCCGAGTTAGGGTCGGGAGTCGGGAGTCGGGATTGAAGTCAGGAGTAGGGTCTCGGGTTGAGTCAGGAGTCAAGTCACGATATTGAGGTTGTCGTTTGATCCGAGGTCGGGGACATGTCGGGGACATGTCAGGGATCCCAATATCAAGGTCAGAAATTAGGTTTCAGGTCAGGATTTGGAGTCTTTTTCCAAATCGAGATCAGGAGTCAAGTCTTGGAAAGGGGTTGAGGGGTTCGATCATACGTATGGGTTGGTGGCGAGAATCGAAACCTAGGTTGGGATCGGGTCCCGAGTCGGGTCCCTAATAGAGAGTTGAGTTTCAAATTAAGGTTAGGAATCGAGTCCCGAGTTGAGGTCGGATAGTAATGTTGGAAGAAACATATTTTCCTTACTTCATAGAGAAAAGTCATTCTCATTAAATTGAAAGAAATTTAGTCAACTTGAAAAATATTTAAACCAATCAAAGACGATAAAATTAAAAAATACCTTTCTTCATATATACAAAATACACACTAAGTTTAAAATGACATTTATTAACACTAAAAATTATCGTTGTAAAATCCAAAACTTGCAAAATTGAAATTCTTACTCCCCTAATAGCCTAATAGCAATAAGTGAAAATGTGATTTGCACTAATAATTAAGGTGGTTCTTTGTATGAGCTGACATGTACGTATGGAACTGTTTCCTAGTCTCTATTACTATATGTTAGTGGTATTAATAATTTTTCCATCTTTGAGGCAAACCAATGATGTGAGTGAGTCACATCAATAAACTCACTCATACCAGACTTTTTTTTAAAGAATTCACCAGAAAAGAGCTAGCACCCGCACACACTTTGCTGTTCTACATATGCTTTGTTTACATATTTAAGTCACATTTTTATTAGAAGTAGAAAACTAAAAATAAGAGTTATATGAGAAATTGGAAATTATGATGATATATGGAATGAGAAGATAAACAAATAATGTGGTCTGTGTTACAGTTTTAACGGAAAAAGATCAAAAATACTTCTGAAATATAGAAAATAGAACACTTTTATTCTTCATTATCTTTTGATATTAAAAATATTCTAATCGTCTAAATATTGGACCACACTTGCTCCTATTCACAGTCAGATCAGCTTCAGTTAATTTTTGTATCAAAATCAAGCTATATTTGTGGATTCTTGTAGCGTATGTTATTTTCTTTTTTAGCCCGGTCCAATTTTTCATGGCATATACTTTTGCCAATCCCCTTTTTGTTTTTCCAATTTCTCCTAAAAAGCTCAAAGGTTTCATTTTTACGTTTTCTCAGTTTCAATTTACGTGATATCCTTTGGATTTCGAGATTTAAATAAATTTTGCATTGATAAGAATGTTTTCATATATATATATATATATATATATTTATAATTGATTTCATTTGATTTTAACTTAAAAAAAAGTCAAAACGAACCAAACCAATCCGACATTACATGCTTATAACTTTTATAAAATTTTTATGCATTTTATAAATATCTCTTTAACTTTTTTTTATAGTTCTTATCCTTTTAATATATTATTTCAAGTTTGGACTTAGAATTTTGAATAATCCAATAAATTTATAGGTTATACATGCATGTTATTAACTCAAATATTGCTCAAACCAAAACCAATTACACTAATACTAACAAAAGAAATGATTTCAACACTAGGGGTGTGTTCGGTAAAAATATTTTTTCTCATGTTCATTTGGGTAAAAAAGTTGAAAATACTTTTTTAGAAAAACAAGCTCTTTGAAAATAAGAAAAATAATTTTCTTAATGAAAGTAAGGAAAACAAGTGGGATGGTGTCCTCCACCCTCACAATTACTCACCCCACAACCACATATCGTCCACCCAATCACAAATCCACCACCACCAACACCCACTCTACCACCTTACCCAACCCCACTACAACAAATGCGAATTCAGGATTTCAGAAGGATGAGTGTACTATTACGAAAAGATGCATCTAAAATATAAATTTGACTGATTTTATCTTTAAGTTCTTATCACTGAACTGTTAAATAATAAAAGTTATAGGTCCAAAATAGATAATACTACTAATTTTAATTTTTAATATACACATTTGATTTAATTATATAAAAATTTCACAGTGCTAATTTTTTTAGGAATTCCCAATGTAACACACTTGAAAATTCTGAAAGAGTAAGGCAAAAAAAAAAACAAAAGAAAAATTAATAAAAATGCCAGAAGTGTTACCGATAACCACTTGGAGAGGTGTTACTCAAAAACACAAGATATATATAAGATTTAAATTTCTATCCTTACTTAGAAAGGTGCACTCAATCATAATCGTATTATTATATGATACTTTGAACATGGGTTCACACCTCTATATTTAACTATTTTTTAAAAACTATAACACTACTATATATCATCTAGAGAGTGGAGCATGAGTTCACGTGAACCAGAGAACCTCCCCTAGATACGCTCCTGCACCAGAACCCCTCACCCTAGTCCCACCCATTCTCGTTAAATATATACAAATACTTTTAGTATGATATTTTTTACTTCCAAACACATGAAAATAAGTAAGAAACCACTTATTTTTCAAGAAAATATTTTCCTTCATACCACACACCCTAAGAATAAAAGTAATATTAGATGTATATTCTTTAATTTTGCATTGGTTAAATTTTTCTTCTTTAATATTTAATTATGTAACTACTATTTATTAACCGTACTTATTTTTGACATGACTTAGTACTTTTAGGCCTCATTTGTTTGCACTTAATGAATGTTTAATCTTAATTATTCAGATTTTGGTCATTAAGTTTGTTTGTTTTTGAGGTATGAATCTTCATCATTCAGATTTCAGAAAAGGATCAAAATGACCCTTAAACTATGCTAAATAAATCACTTATACCCTTCATTATATTTTGGGAGCAAAAATATCCGTGCCGTTATCCCAAAAGACTACCCTCAAGAGTTAACAATAGTGATGTGACAGGCCACGTGACACTAATTCCGCCACCTAAGCTTGCCAACTAGGATATCTTTTAAAATTGTATAACTTACCGAAATCTCATACATTTGGGGGCTACTTACATCCTATCCCGAAAGTTTCCCCAATTAACAAAATCTCAATTTTTTCATTGCTCTCGAATACATTCCTTGGTTGTCTGATACATTGCAAATGATACATTAATTAATGAGAGGGATGTATCTGAGAGGGGATCTGGATATATCCAAGAGGGATTTTTGTAATTTGTTTAAATGATAAGAAATTTTAAAGATTATGATATTCTTAAGTTGTATATTTATGTAATTTTTCCTTTAAAATATGAGTCATTAATTTTAAGTATAACTTACCTAAATCCCATAGTATAAGACCCTAAATTACATTTTATCCCTACTCTTTTCTATTTTACAAAAATCCCTTAAAAATCAAACATCCGGATACATAAGTTTCCTCCGGATACATTATATATGATACATCATAAACTTGTTTGTTGCGCTTAAAATGAAATATTCATGTAAAATTGATTTTCTTTCCCACAAATCACGCATAACTAATTTTCTTCCCACAAATCAGGCAGAACTGATTTTCTTTTCCCACAAATCACGCAGAGGGATTGATATCATTCCATTCCAATCTGTAATAGCTTCACAAAATTCAAAAATCAATTTTTCATCTTCTCTATCAATTCGAAATCTTGAATCTCAAATCCTCCATTGTAGATGATTGGACAAACGATTCACGATTTCAAATCATCAATTCGAAATCGTCGAGTAATTTGAATTCAATGTATCACGCAAAACTAATTGGACAACCTTGGCTGCTGCTAACATTGCTAACAAGATTCTTCTGTCAACTAGTAAGTTTCTATTCCCTCTTTTCATCTTTCGTTATTAAATTTTAATTTGATTTCAGAAAAGTTATTTCATTTCTTGTTTAGAGAAAATTGAAGAATTTTAGAAGAAAACATTGATGAAATCAAGAAACAAAAATGGGAAACAATCACCATTGATTGATATAACGAATGATTCCCCCATTGTTGGTCTTGTTATGGGAAATTTAGAGACCCTATCTTCAGAAATATCCAAAAAATGATTACTTGTCAAGCTAAATACTTGGTTACTCCTGGAT